CAACATTGCGAGGTGTGAACGGTGGACTATTCAGCAGTGGGAAGGGAAAAAGGGAAGTTCTAGCAGGACACTACAAGAGACTTGGAGTGCCTTCGGAGAATGAAGATTTTGACCAAGTGTTTAAGAAGGAGGTGGACGCATGGGCCCAGAAAGAAGAAGAGACATCGAAGGCAGACGTTGGGAACGTAGAACTAGAAAAGGAGTTCACTGAGGACGAGGTTGAGGCGTGTGTGAACAAGCTGCAGTGCCACAAAGCAGCAGGGGCGGATGGGATAGTAAACGAGTTCATGAAGTTTGGGGGCAAGGGGATGATCCAGCTGATGGTACTGCTATACAACTGGGTGTGGAAAAACGAGTATGCGCCAAGTAGATGGAGGGAAGGAGTGGTTGTGAACTTGTTTAAGAAAGGAGACAAGACTGACCCAGGAAACTACAGGGGTATCACACTGTTGAACACAGTAGGAAAAGTGTTCTGTAAGCTGCTGAACGATAGGATAGTGGGAGTATTGGAGAAGAAACGTAGCATTAGTGAGGGCCAGGCAGGTTTCCGACAGAAGAGGGGGTGCGTAGACCACGCATTCACGGTAGGGAGAATCATCCAAGGTAGAAAGAGGGCGGGCAAGCGGACGTACTGCTTCTTCCTGGACGTGAAAAAGGCATACGATACCGTATGGAGAAATGGGCTGTGGAAACAATTGTCCAAGTACGGGATCAAGGGGAAAATGTGGAGGGTGCTGAAGAAGATGACAGAGTGTACGAAAAGCGCGGTCATGCTAGACGGAGAACTGTCTAAATTCTTCGACATTGAGCAAGGGGTCCCACAAGGTTGCACGCTGTCCTCAACATTGTTCCAGGTGTTCATCAACGATCTGTTGGAAGTCGTAGAGGCAGTCCGGAAGGGAGTAAAAGTAGGGGACACGGAAACTTCGGTGTCAGGAATGCTGTTTGCGGATGACTTTGTTGGTATGTCGGACACCCCTGAGGGACTGCAACTGCAAATTGACGCGGCGAAGAAGTTTACTGATAAGTGGAGATTGTCTGCCAACGTTACGAAGAGTGCCGTCATGGTATGCAACGAGGGCAGGGAGGAACCAGTAGAACATAGATGGAAGTGGGGGATCGAGGAGATTGCAGTAGTGGACCAGTACACATACCTCGGAGTAGAGATCGCAAAAGATTGCTCGTGGAATGCACACATGTCCAAGGTAGCGGAAAAG